CTTTGACCCCCAGCTTCGACATCCCAACTCGTTTTCGGATTACCCCCCCACGTCCCGAATATCGTGACCGTACGTAGAGCGGTTAAGATTTGTGCCCAACTGTTGACGGACGGACGGACGCACGGACGCACGGACGATCATGCGATTCTACAAGCTGCATCTGACTATGTCAGATGAGCTAAAAATGATGCATTTTAGTATAACAGGTCCTATTTCGATTTTCTAAATATCAGTAAAACATCCAATAAAATTTTTGAGTAAGAACCACAATAGCACTCTGAATAGCACTGTTCATCTATCACATTGTAACTGGTTTGTTACATCAGCATATACATTTAACATAATGTAGGATTTAGAATAGAATACTAAGAATATCACAGAGTTGTGTTGAGCCAAAATAAATAATATTTCAGACCACGCGTACCAATAGTCTGACCCCGATCACGATTCTCACCAATTCTCCTCCAAGTTTTCATACCCCTCATTATGCTACCCATGTCCACACATGTCACATACATGCACACACATACTACACATACATGCCAGGGGCGGATCCAGGATTTTTGAAAGGGGAGTGTCCAGGAAGAAGTAAATGGCACCTTTTCCTGCTTAATTTTTCTGGTGTTTTAATAAGCTGCGGAAGGCCACTTTGGGGGTTTTGAGGGACCTCCCCCAAGAAAAATTTTGAAAATTGGTGCATTCTGAGAGCATCTGACAGCATCTGAGCAGTAATTTTGATGTCTAGAATGCAAGATGGAATTCCAAATTTTTAGCAGAAAATTATCTTTTAATTTTTTTAGGGCACTTTGAAACTAAAGGCGCGTTCACACGGACGTTTTTGGCCCGAGCCTAATTAGGCCCGCGCCAGATTTGGCTCGAGCCGAGCGTTCACACGTACGGTTTTTCGGGCCGTGCCAATTTGGCACCCCCCCGGACACCCCCCCTAGATCCGCCCCTGTATGCAATCACATACTACACATACATGACAGTCTCGAGTTACATCAAACAAAACAAAAACCTAAAGCAAGGAAAACAATCAGCGAGGATACGACAATCATGTTGTTGTTGACTGGCTGGAATGTGACTGAGTGGATCTGTGCACCTGCACTGTCTTCTACGATCCTGAGGCAGGTGGCGCTAGCAACATGCCACAGACGCACCGTAGCATCGAGCGAGCAGGACACGATCAGATCATTCGATATAGACCACTGAAATCCTGTAAGGGAGATAGTGTCACACGGTAAGGTGACAAGACTCATCAGCGTGACACAGAGAACACACGAGCTTTGTTAACAACAGAAATGACATCCAGAAACAGGGTTCCCTCTATATCGTTGTGATAGGATGAGCAAAGCAAAGTTACCATGGTGACAATCATGTGGGCCCCTCCCCTCACCTGTCACTCCCTGCTGGTGGCCCCTCCCCTCACCTGTCACTCTCTGCTGGTGGCCCCTCCCCTCACCTGTCACTCCCTGCTGGTGGCCC